AACAAACAGGAGACTGGCTGGTCAGGCTGGGAAACGGGGAGCAGTGTTTGCCCTGGGGACTGCTCCTTCCTTTCTCAACCCATCAGTTTTCTCCCTGCCATTTTTTGAAGTATCAGATAGATCGATCAACTGCAGATGTGTGCACATGCACGTGTTTTTAGTAAGTTCATTGTCTGTCTGTCTGTCTGTCTGTGTGGAACAGGTTGTGCTGGAACCAGGTTGAAATCAGAAGTAGGAATTCTAGAGAAGTCAGTGAGTGGTGCACATGTACGTGTTTTTAGACAGTTCATTGTCTGTTTGTCTGTCTGTCTGTGTGGAACACTCGAGTGCTGGAACCAGGTTGAACTCAGAAGTAGGATTCTAGAGAAGTCAGTGAGTGATATGCAACTCAGGGATTTAAGAAGTGTAGTTGTTTCTGGAACTTGCTAGGCAAGGTTTAAACGAAGATTTCTTATCAGAAAGTTACCTACAGAGAAAGCAGAATTCTCAATCTAAATTTCTTATTGGAAGAACATTAATGGTTATTAAGAGTTGTAATTCTTTTGAACTTAAGAATCTATACTGTCCAGGAAGAGCTGCGGAATTAGATCCTAAAACTAAAGTGAAATAAGAGTTTAGAGAAAGCAAGAACTTATCTTACAAGCCTCAGCTAACATTTATGAAAAATCTGTAAGAGGCAGTTCCCTTTTCTCACAGAAACCTAGCAGTTCTTAGATATGCAGATCTAGCCAGGCCTGATCTTTTGGGATGTAGATTCCAAGCTCTAGCAGACTGGTCTTTGGGAGGCAAGCCCAAGTGCTTGTAGCTTGTGAAAGTGCTTGTGAAAGGTTTCAGTTTGGTTTTGTATCTTCTTTCCCCAGGCCAAAATTACTGGCCTGCAGATGTAAAGAAACAATGTACATTTTGTTGCCTCAAGGTTCTTTCTGTAACTCCTTTTGATGGCACCACTATATTGCAGAGGTACTATGATCTATATAAGGGAGATTTCAGGGCTCTCTGGGGAGACACGTGCATCAGAGAACCTGGGAAGATGGGGCTGAGGACAGAAGCTGAGAGAACAAAGGAGCACGTGCTTGAGAGATCCTGGGGCCTCCATGACATACATCTCTTCCATGTAATAAACTGCTGCTAAGACCAACTAGCTTGGCCTCATTTGCTTCCTTCTCCTGCCCATCGCCATCCACCTCCCTGGAGTGGGGGAAACTACCTAATAGGGGCGGTGGGAAAGATAGATTGTTGCCATCCTTTTTGTGTTTACACAGCAATTCAAGTATTTTCTTATGCTAATATCAAAGTTTGGTAAAAAAACAAAGGGCTTTTTCTGTGTCTGAAAGCATGTTTGTATTCTTGTGGAATTGTTAAAAGTACCTGTTGTAGAAAGCTCATGATTTTAAATAAGGTACAAGAACTATTGAAATTAAGCCAAAGGTTTTATCATGTTTTATATTAATTGGTGGTTCAAGGGTTTTATGCTGTTATATCAATGTATATATTTTTATCTGCATTGGATTAGAATATTTGACCTAGAAAATCTTGTGAGTTGAAAGAATGTGGTGCATAAAAACAGGTTCATGTTTATTTTAAAATATGAGTTTCTAGAGTTATAAAATTGGTTGCAAAGTTTGTCCTACCAGTGCTCTATCTGATCTCTGAGACTCTTGGTAACTAAAATTTCTAGGGCTACTTAGCAATAAGTTGTATTGAATTAGTCTCAGATGTCAGCCTGACAATTTGAAGCCATAGCATTGCTTGTCTAGTGCTTGAAAGTGCATGCTATTATTTTGATAATTTTATTTTATGCCAAGCTTTGTCTCCAGGTATGAACCTGGCCCTGACCTGAGAACTTTGTACCTAAGTGTGAAATGCTTTCTGTTTCATGATAATCTATGAGTGTTTTAATCTTTTTGTATTTGTGTTTTCCTGTAAATCAGAATTTTAAGATGTCTCCTGGTTAATTTCTAATGTAAAGTGATCTTTTGCCCAGTGGATATACCTTGTAAAAGCTTTAATTGTGAGCATTTAAGGCATTTTGAATATCTATGGAACTGATCTAATGCTTTTGAAATAGTACTGCAGAGTACAGTTTTGTCAAGTGAGATGGTTGGTAACTTGTGTCTAAATTTGGGAGATCACATTGTACATTGTACTACTATAGATGTATGTCATAAGTCAGAAAGATAATGGATGGAGATATCGTCAGTGGGAAGAAAGGAAAGGAATTCTGTTAAAGTGAAGTTGATTTTTAAATGAATGAAAGTTACAGAATGTATGTAAAGGAATGTGTAGAAGGTTTGAGGTTGTTCTAAAGAAAAGGAATTGGTCAAACTGTTATAAGAAACGCTTTAAATCACATGCAGAATTCTTCTAGCACCTTTGTGGTAAGATCTATGGAAAAGATGATTGATGGATTATCTGGACTCCTGTTACAGTGCTCTTAAGATCATTGAATTTTTCAAAAGTTGCAGGAAATCAAGGGTTTTGACATGGGATTAAAAACATGTTAAATAATTAAAGCCATCTACCACAAGCCTACAGCAAGCATCATCCTCAATGGGGAAAAACTGAGAGCCTTCCCTCTAAGATCAGGGACGAGACAGGGATGCCCACTCTCTCCACTGCTGTTCAATATAGTACTGGAAGTACTTGCAATAGCGATTAGGCAGGAAAAAGATATTAAGGGCATTCAGGTAGGAAAGGAAGAAATCAAGCTCTCACTATTCGCAGATGATATGATACTCTACTTAGAGAACCCAATAACTTCCACCAAAAAACTCCTAGAAACAATAGACTCGTATAGTAAAGTTGCAGGTTATAAAATCAATACCCAAAAGTCCATGGCTTTCCTATACGCAAACAGTGAGAGAGAAGAAAGCAACATGAAAAAAACAATCCCATTCACAATTGTGCCCCAGAAAATCAAGTACCTAGGAATCAGCTTAACTAAGGAAGTAAAGGACCTGTACAAAGAAAACTACAAAACGCTACTTCAGGAAATAAAAGAGGACATGAGGAAATGGAAAGATATCCCCTGCTCATGGGTCGGGAGACTTAACATTGTCAAAATGGCAATACTACCAAAAGCATTGTATAAATTCAATGCAATCCCTATAAGGATACCCATGACATTCTTCAAAGAAATGGAGCAAACACTCTTGAAATTTATATGGAACAATAAGCCCCCACGAATAGCTAAAGCAATTCTTGGGAAAAAGAAAATGGGAGGAATCAACCTCCCGAACTTCAAACTGTACTACAAAGCAGTAATAATTAAAACAGCATGGTACTGGAACAAAGGCAGAACTGCAGACCAATGGAACAGGGTTGAATACACTGACATCTCTCCTCAATCATATGCTCATCTAATCTTTGATAAAGGTGCAAGTAATGTGAAGTGGAGTAAGGAAAGCCTCTTTAATAAATTGTGTTGGCATCACTGGACGGCTACATGCAAAAAAATAGGCTCAGAACTCTGCCTAACACCATGTACAAAAGTAAGATCAAAATGGATTAAAGACCTCAACATCAGACCAGAAACCATAAGGTACATTGAAGATAAAGTTGGCAAAACCCTCCATGACATTGAAGCTAATGGTATCTTCAAGGATGCCACGCCACTGGCCGAGCAAGTGAAAACAGAGATAGATAAATGGGACTATCTTAAACTAAGAAGCTTCTGCACCTCCAAAGAAACAGTGACCAAAATACAAAGACAGTCTACAGAATGGGAAAGGATATTCACCGAATACACATCTGACAAGGGGTTGATATCCAGGATATACAAAATACTGGTTAAACTCCACAAGAAGAAAACATCCAACCCCATCCAAAAATGGGGCAATGAAATGAACAGAAACTTTCTCAAAGAAGAAATCCGAATGGCAAAAAAGCACATGAGAAAATGCTCTACATCATTAATCATCAGGGAGATGCAGATCAAAACCACAATGAGATACCATCTCACACCTCAGAGACTGGCCCACATTCAAAAGAACAAAAGCAACCGATGCTGGCGTGGATGTGGCGAGAAAGGGACACTCCTTCACTGTTGGTGGGAATGTCCACTGGTTCAGCCCTTCTGGAAAACAGTATGGACGATTCTCAAAAAATTAGAAATTGAGCTCCCATTTGACCCAGCAATACCACTCCTGGGAATATATCCCAGAGAGGCAAAAATGTATAGTCGAAGTGACATCTGCACTTGTTTGTTCATTGCAGCACTCTTTACAATAGCCAGAAACTGGAAGAAACCTGAATGCCCAAGAACAGATGACTGGTTAAAGAAACTTTGGTACATCTACACAATGGAGTACTATGTAGCTCTTAGAAAAGATGAAGTCATGAAATTTACATACAAGTGGTACAATATGGAAAGTATCATGCTAAGCGAAATGAGTCAGAAAGAGAGGGATAGACATAGAAAGATTGCATTCATCTGGGGGATATAAAGTAACAAAGTATGAGATTAATACCCAAGAATAGCTGAGATCAGCACCAGGAGGATTACTCCATAACTTAGAGGCCAGCCGGGTATCCTAGAGGAAAGGGCAGTTCAGATAGAGAAGGGAGCACCAAATAAAGGATATTTGGAGGATCCTCCCAGGAGGGGAGATGCATGTCGAAAGTAGACTATGGACTGAACATGTTTGCCACTCAATGCCTCTTTTGCAGACCACAACACCCAAAAGGAGAGAGAGAACACAGGGGATTTCCCTGCCACAGAGACAGGGGGGATGGGGGGATGGGGGTGGGAGGGATATTATCCATGGTGGTGGAAAATGGGCACTGGTGGAGGGATGGGTATCTGATCATTGTATAATTGAAACCAAAGCACAAAAAATTGTAAATCTACAACTTTAAAAAAAATAAAATAAAATAAAGGGAAAAAAAAAAAGAAGTAGCCTAAATGTTCATAAAACATAGGATATAAAATGCCCTGTGAATTTAGTGCAAATACATGTTAGTCATTGAGTTGAAAAAAAAAAAATCATGTTAAGACATAGGAGCGGGCCGGCGTGTCCTTGGACTTAAAGAGCCGGACGTCGGACTCGCGGAGCGGACTCTCTGTGTCACGTGAGACGAAAGCGAGATTCAAAGATGGGTGATATTGAGAAGGGCAAGAAGATTTTTGTCCAGAAGTGCGCTCAGTGCCATACCGTGGAGAAGGGAGGCAAGCACAAGACGGGGCCCAATCTCCATGGTCTGTTTGGGCGGAAGACGGGGCAGGCCGCTGGATTCTCTTACACCGATGCCAACAAGAACAAAGGCATCACCTGGAATGAGGACACGCTGATGGAGTATTTGGAGAATCCCAAGAAGTACATCCCTGGAACAAAAATGATCTTCACTGGCATTAAGAAGAAGACCGAGCGGGCAGAGTTGATAGCTTACCTCAAAAAAGCTACTAATGAGTAATAGTTGGCACCGCCTTATTTATTACAAAACAAATGTCTCATGACTTTTTTATGTGTACCATATTTAAATCCATCTCGTTCACCAGAATTCAGATCATGAGTGACCCATAGCGTATTTTTGTTGGGCAGCCCTTATTTAAATAAGATTGGCTTGTGTTTTAAATGAGTATGATCAGTTTTTTTGAATTAATGATAATTCCAGGTCAGCAAGTGCAATCACTGTCCCTTTCCAAAGATATGATTGAACTTAATTCGTCACATTCACCTTTCCAAGGGATGGAGATGGCCATCTCAAACCTGTGGGAGAATAGTTTTCTATTCAGATTTATAGAACCGGCTATATTAATATATCTAAAGATTGAGGATATCACTGTCTCCTTAGGTTGTTTCTTAGCCTGATGAGATTAGTTGGCAGTGACCTTATATCTTTTTCTTAATTGTGGTAATTAAAAATTCCCTATATCTAAAAAAAAAACATGTTAAATGGTATGCTTTATCTCTACAGATTTTAGCTTCTCTGACTAGGACCCACAGCAAACAGGTGTATTACATCTCTGTGAGTAAAGTGAAATACTTGCTTTTCTCTTCTTTTGTACCTTCAGTATGTTTTTTGATGTTTCATGGCACTATGTTGGTTTGCATAAATCCAGATAAGTCTTTCCTCTCTGTAATAGGGTCTACCCCTCATGCAGATAGGAAAAACCAGCCATGGGACCCCAAAGCCCTCTTCCAGGGAAACAGTCAGGGGATCTGTCTAAATGACAGGAGCAGGGATTTAACAGGTACTGTTTCAAGTACCCTACAAACCTCAGGGTGACCCTAGAGGCAGGCTGGCTCGAGAAAAGACTGGAAACCATCACTGCTATGGAGAATGAGGAATCTAGGACTCTGCAATGACTAACTCAGTCTGGGCCTACTCTCAGCGTCAAGGAAAAACCTGGAAACCAGGATTTCTCCAAGCCCTGAAGAAGGGATGGGATGGATTCCTTTCTGCCAGGACATCTCTGTGGAAAACGAGGACCAAAGCCACAACCCGAAGGCTCGAGGCCATCCATACAGTTCATCCCAGGACATCTTCTGGCCGGGCCTGGGTAGCTCTGACGTGCCAGATAAGATTAATGCCACTATTGTTGTGTTTCCTGTCTTTAGCTGATTCCCAGGACTTCTCAGTAAATAATTGGGTATCCCAAATGGAGAGTTCTCTAATCTTACTGTGTTTATGCAAAATAACAAGTCAGGTTTGTTAAACTATCTTGCAACGTTTTAAAATGAAGGTGGAGAGAAAACCATAACTTTCTGTAACTTGCTTTTTGTAAGAATCAGATTCTAATTCTACAGAGGTGATTGAATAAATGTATTCTAATCTTGATCTAAAAGGTACCCCCTTTGGGGAAATTTAGATAAAACTTAGTTTACTGTCTGTAGGTAAAACAGCCTAATCTGTGAAGGGACTCAATGTTATACATGCTGTCACTAGTCTGATCCGAGCATTGAAAGCCAGAGCTTTACTAGGGTGAAGCTCATCTCAAAGTGCAGAATTGCTTTCCCCCGGTCTGAATTGGCCAAAGTGTCGAGAAAGGCATCTAAACTGGTTAAATTAGAGTAGATTAATATCTAGTTCTAAAATATTGTGAATTTTCTTTCTATACTTTATGCATCTCATTTTCTGTGAACAGTCATTTGGAGAGAACAAGAATATTATCAGGTCTTAATTTCTGTTGCATTATGGGATTAACAACTCCTGGACCAATGCAATGGAATATTATTAAAGTGTTATGTTTTAACACTAGTGAGAACCATCTTCCATAGGGAGGAACTGAACAGCAAGTAAGATAGAAGTAATTCAGAACTGTGCTTTCTGTGCCATTAATGAACCTAGTGGAAATCCTGAGCCTCCTTTCCTAACACCTGTTCAGCATCAAGGAACTTAGAGGTGAATTGGCAGCTTGACCTTATACAAATGATCAAATGTTCATATGTTCAAGGTATAAATATCTGTTGGTTCTCACTGATAGCTTCAGTGTATGGGCAGAAGCTTTTCCAATCTGTACTGAGAAAGCCAGAGAATGGCTTGGTGTTTCTGTGTCCATTAGAAAAATCTGGACACAGGAAGTCATATTATCAACCAAACCTGTTTGTAGAGTTAATCCTTTTCATTGTTTTAATGATAGAGATGGGTATGGCATTATGTTGCTTTGGTTTCTGTTGCTTTAACTCTTTTTAAGACCTCATTGAGAAATCTCTCACATCCCTGTTCAAGATAGTCTCCCAAAACCTGAGAGGACTCGACCTTCGACCTGTTGTTCCTCAAGAACAGAGGGCTTTGCTCTGATCTGGTGGAGGGATGCTGTTTCTACGCAGACCACACTGAGGTTGTCAGAGACTCTATAGCCAAGCTACGGGAAGGCCTTGAACGACGTCGGAGAAGCCTGGGAGAATTGGTTTGAGTCTTGAAGATCCTCCTAATTCTGGGCAACAATACCGGACTCTACCCACTGAGGGAAGCTGCTCTTAACCACGGGTCCTTGAATAAGGCCCCGATCCCCTCACGATCTCTAGGATTAGAGATGCTCATTAAAAGAAGTGGGGAATGAAAGAATCCATATTAGGGCATCAAATTTTTGTGTACTTTAGCTAACTTGCAACATTGCTTTCTGTAAAACTGCTTGGCTGCTTTGCACCTGGGGGAGAGGGGACTTGGAAAGTGAACAGGGCATAACTTCTTTCTAAACCAAGTGTGACAGGATTCAGGTGTATTTACTGTTCCTGAAATGTATTGTCTCAGTAAAGCACCCTGCAGATTTGGGTAAAGGATAACTCAGGATGTGGGTAAAAGGTAAAGGTAAAGGCCCTCCCGTTGATCGTCGATTTGCTCGAGCGGGCCCAGTAACGTCTCCATTGGAGACTTTGTTGTTACTGTGTCTGGAGGATGTGGGTGGTTGGGGGAAATTGCCCTTTCCTGGAGTGTATTGTCTCACTAAAGCACCCTGCAGACTTGGGTAACTCAAAATGTGGATGGTCAAGGGGGATTACCTAAGGCTTAATGATTCCGGCTATAACCTTGCTTGTGCTGACAATTGATGTACGTAAATGCTGATCTTTGAATCTATAGGCTAAGGAGTGAAGTACTTTTAAATGGATTGGTTAAGAAAGTATATAAAGGTAAAAGGTAAAGGCCCTCCCGTTGATCATCGATTTGCTCGAGCGGGCCCAGTAACGTCTCCATTGGAGACTTTGTTGTTACTGTGTCTGGCATATCGAATACTCTCGGTAGCTTGCCGGGCTCTCCGAGGGGGCGGAGGAATCGAACTCGGGTCGGCCATGTTGGCCGCGTGTAAGGCGAATGCCCTACCCGCTGTGCTATCGCTCCAGCCCAAGAAAGTATATGTTGTTACAAATCTATTGGCTATGAAATGCGCGGGCTTTGCTGTAACGGCCAGTGAAGGCCTATATGAGATCCCCTTTGAAGAAGTTTGGGGCTCTCAGCCACTGCCCATTTTTGGGGTATGCTGCGGAGCCCCAGCATGCTGGTCTAAATAAACCCCGTTTTTACTCCTGCAGGAATTGTGTCTATCTGGTCTCTCCGTGCCTCCCAGGGCTAGGGAACTCCCGATCCCAACAGCATTTACCCTCCTATCAATGTATTTGAATATATTTTTGGCTCTGAACTCTATGTTTTCTCTTTATCTGTATTTAGTTATCTAATTATAGAAGTTATTTTATTATTCTTTTCCAAGTATGTCTTTTTTTTATAAAACCCATTCCTTTCTCATATCTTTAATTCTATTTTTATTTATACATTTGATATATATTATAATAATTTCATTCTATAAAGAATTGAGAGTCTAAATCTATTCCTTTCTCTTTCTGCTAGCTCGTACTTTATGTGGCTTATTTATTTTCTTTTTAATACTTTGGGTTGTGAGCTAATGAGCACATGTTAATTTGGTTGAAAACTTAATTCTCATGCTTCTTTCTTCCTTAACTCCTGTATAGTTGCCTGGGAGCTTTCTGCTTTGAGACCGCTTTGTTAGTTTTCAGGAGTAGTGTAAATTTGAGTTTTTGGGGGGTGGGGCAGGGATATACCTGACTATTCTCAAGGCATTTTATTTGCTCTGTGATCAAGAATTACTCTTGGTGGTGCTCAGGGTCCATTTGCAGTGACAGGGATCAAATTATGGGTACAAATTTTGTTCAACTTCTTGCAATGCAAGTGCTTTATCCCTGCACTATCTCTTCCACCCTGAATTCAAGTCTTAAACCTTCCTGTATGCTAGTGATTATAAATCCCTGAGGGAGAATTTCCCTCCATCCCAGAGCCTAGCTAGGATACTTCTTTTTAGTTGGGGGTTCTGGAGAGGGAGAGGGTGGATGGAGGTGGTTGGAGGGGATGTTTGTGCTACATCCAGCAGGGATTAGGACTTCCTCTCAACTATCTCCTCAGGCATTACTCCTTGAGGGGCTTAGGGGAGCATTGTGGGGTGTCAGGGATCAAACCTCGTGGGCCATCTGCAGGTTAAGCACCCTTCCTGCTGTCTTATATTTCCGGCCTCCCTAGGCAGATTTTGTTTTCCTTTTTCTTGAGAAGGTAAATTTATTTTTCTGATGTAGTGTGGGGGACAGATCTTAGTTACAGATCCCACTTTATTGAGAGCCAAGGCCTTAATTGGTGTTTGGGTTCTCTGTGGGGAAATCTCCACTGATATTTATGCGTTGATTCTATAGGCTTCCATTTTACCTTACACTTCTGTTGTTTTAGAGTTCAAGGTTTTCTAGGTAGAGTATGTCATCTGAGAGTTTGACGTCTTCTTCTCCTATCTGTAGCCCTTAATATATCTTTCTTGCCGAATTGACTAATATGTCTTTCTTGCCTAATATGGCTGCAACTTCCAATGCTATATTAAATAATAGTGGTGAGAATGTGAGAATGGGAAACCTTGTTTTGTGCTTGATATTTTTTATCCCCCCACACTTTATTTAAATACTATGGTTTATTTATATATACATAATTATTTATTATATATATATGGGAGTGAAGATAGATGGTCGGCAACTACA